CGAGAACGACAAAGCCGAACGCAGCTCCACTTGCAATGAGGGTGATGTCCACTGGAGTATAGGGAACATAAGGCACATTATCAAAGTGTCACTCTGTTAGTAGCTAAAGGGTTTATAATGATTGCTGGGTACTAAAATAAATGTTAGGTTAGCTTCATTAGTGCAACACTCTGCAGGCTGAAATATGGTGTTGAGATGTGGTAAGTCGAACCATCAGGTCCAGTATGTACAGTTACATAACATCAATGATATTTCCAGGCAAAGGTAAAGGTAACAATTCAACAACGCATGCAGAGAAGGGAGGGTTAGAGGATGAAGCTAGTACAAATGCTGCGCTCCTGGTAGCCTTTATAAACTCGTGATGCCAGAGAGAGAAGTTGCTGTATGCTCTGCTGATGAGGGCCAACAAGCCCAAAACAGCTGTCCAGAGCTCCACATCTTTTTTCTCTAGGCATCACAGTCATGGTATTTTCTACATGGTGTTAGATAGAGTGATTGAGGTATATACGTACAGCAGTCTTGTTCATCTGATTTGTCACTGCACTCGGTTCTCCCGTCGCACTGCTTGGATTTGCTGAGACATCGTCCACCGTCACATCTGAACTCTTTCTTGGCGCAACCTGGATGAACATAATGTATGTGAGTAACCATTTGCATTGGGAAGACATGGGTTCCAAGACTACACACTTCAGGTATAGGTACGTTGGAGCATGTTGTGTGCATCTAAGAGATTGCCTAGTAAGGATGTGAGTGGGTGTAGTCATGATGCACAATTATGATGACAATGCATGAGTTCTATAGTGCAACAGATGGCATACAAATTCTTGAGTAGGCCTTGGAGTACAGCCAATAAATATTACCGCTCACGTACCATACAATGGACACCATGCACTAAGTGAAAAACCTAAGCCCAAACGCAGGTGTTTGCATAATAAAGCTGTGGACTACATGCTCTGAAAACAATAGCCACGATACACAGTCTATAAGCTCACTTTCAAAGCAAAAAACCTTACAATTGAATGTGGAAGCAGCGCTAGTAAAGTCTCCTGTGTTATGCATACAGAATAGTTTGCGTCACATCGATGATCATGCTGACCACCAACTTCAGTCAGGTGAAAGATAAAAGCCTGCCCTAGGTGTGAGTGAACCCCACGACACTACTCTCTTGGCAGAGTGCTCTACTCTTTGGGAATGTGCTATATTATAGCAAGCCCTGCCTTGGAGCAAACACACACAGAAAACTCATCAGGGCATTCCTGCATAGCTATTTTCACTCACTTTCCAAACGGAACACGGTGGAACTGGAGTTTGTAGAGTACTCGCAGCCGATTTGGGCAGACTCTCTGCCACTCAGCTGGTGCTCGTCAACGTCTTGTCTGCTGGCCTGCCAGCCAATCTCGGCTCCACCCCACCCCATCCCTCCACACTGGTAGATGAACACGGCATAGGAGTCATAGCGGTCGGTGATCAGAACTGCTTGGAAGGTGCTGTTCACAGACTACAGAGGAACAAACAGAAGTGTTACAAGTTACAGGATGCATTTGCGGCCTGTGAGGGTAGTTTTTCATTTGCAAAGTGTTTATTCTGTGAATATTATTTGTGGGGGTATATAGGGATAAGAGTTATTATAATTATGCCTGTTGTATAAGAAGCATGTAGCTGCACACTCAGGACAACCCTGTAGAAAAAGTTGTACTGTTGCAGTCTGTTGTGTGTGCGCATTGCGTCGAGCCAGAAGTTGCATTCTGCCAAAAAGCAAAAAAAATCCCTCTTGAGTGTGTGTGTGTGTGTGTGTGTGTGTTCAATGGCATACTGACCCTGTAAACTGAGTATTCTCACTCTGATATAATATATACAGTGTGTGATACATTATGTATGTACCAGAGTATGATTGGCTGTAAGTGATCTTAGCTGAGCCACACATGCACTAGTATCCTCAAGCATGCCCATGGAATCCCATTAGTAGCCACAGCTACTTCATCTTAGGAGCCACACATGCACTAGTATCCTCAAGCATGCCCGTGGAAGCCCGTTAGTAGCCACAGCTACTTCATCTTAGGAGCCACACATGCAGTATATAGTATCCTCAAGCATGCCAGTGGAACCCTGTTAGTAGCCACAGCTACTTCCTCCTACACTTCAGGTGGGCGTATAGACCACAGGGAAGGCATACTGGTCCTAAGTGCATACTTTGATAGTGTCTAAATTTGGTCTTCATGTGTACACAGAATACCCTATGTTTCATGAGTACAGGTGGTGCTAACATAGGCATGTTTGTACAACTAACTGCTATACCTCTAGATAGGTTTTATAATACACTAGTGTAGTACATGCAATCCTAGAAAATTTAAGAAGTCGACAACTACAAGGCAAAAGCAAACCTCACCCTGTGTGCACCATGGCACACAAACCTAGGTTAAGAAAACTGGGGTGCCCTCCAAAGACGCCCAATGCCAAATTTGACTTATTAAACACAGATGTGAACGCAAGGCATAAAACCAATCAACCAATGCATGTTGACAACTCACAGCTCTCCCTTTGTACTGAGCAACATTGTCCCAGAGTGCTACCATCATTTTGGTCCCAAGGAAATCCACGTCCATCTGAGCCTCGACAAACTCGCTCACCACCCTCAACTCTTGTGGGGCATGGAATCGTGTGTACGAGACAGTGCCTCCTACACGAGTGTCAATATCGGCACCGTATGGAGCCACTACAGAGAGGGCTCCTTCGACGTTCTGCGCATTGGCAGTTGGTGTGAGGCCCATGGATATGTAGCCGTTGGTGGACACCTGCATTATTATACAGCATGTGTTAGTAATAACTGGATATTTAACTATTGGTTGACACCTGCATATTATAGTATTCAACACATGCTAGTAATAACCAATCATTTTATCCGTTAGAGTAGGATATCAACCTTTACCCGTAACTACTCAAAACGTTTTTAGAAACATGCTTCAACTATATTGCTTACTAAAACGAATGCAAGCGAACGCTAAACCACAAGCATGCCCCCTTCACACCATTGCCAAAACATTTTCTATTCTTTCATCCTTACATAGACACTTTCAACAGAGTTGCTTCCGAATCTGAATTTTCCGTCAGTTGATATCTCGTTACTGAACGTGTCGTCTCCGGGAGGTATTGTAGATGTGTCGAGAACCGACAGCCGTACAAAGGAAAGTTTACCTGAAAACAAACAATAAAGTGTATGTGTTATTTCTTTACACACGCACACCTTCAACTTGAAAGCTCCTTTCTTTCTATTTTGTGGTACGTAAGGGATGATGTAATCAATAGTAACCACAAAGGAATGCTTAAGTGAAAGAATGTTCGCACTTTTCTCCAGTTAACACACGCACAGGTTCTTACACAAGTGTGAACATGGCAAGTGCATTATACATAGCTGTCAAAGAAGCAATGCATGGAAGTGTAAGTACTAGACTAAGGCTTCAAACAAGACTGTATGTTCAACATTGTTAACAATGTAGAGTGGGTTGGCCAATAGGCAGATGGCTAAGATTAGCCACCATTTACCCTTTTCAAAGCAATGATAGTAGCTATTGTTTTGTCATACTGATAGCTAGGCATTCATTGTGGCATCATGAATGACAATTCTTGTGTTTAGCAAAGAAAGAAAGCCACAGTCCCAATCTCTTTCCACCCACGCATCCCCCTTTTTCTACACACACAACCAAACCACCACAAGTTCTGAGTTATACACAGGTACACACACAGACATGTATACGTTATATGTACACATGTACACGAGAGCTGGTCAAGAGGTAGCTACTCAGCCTTGAGAGCAGGTGGGTTAAAGGTAATACAATCTGACCAGGGACAGTACAGGTGCCAAGGGCTATCAATACAAACAGTGGGAGTTGAAAACGTACACCACACGGTCAGTTACCACATAAACTGTCTCGTTTTTCACAACAAAGGCACGCTAACAATTACAAATGCGGGTGGTGCTACATATTATTGCATTGGGCAGAAGTTGTTTAAAGTCTTCTGAGGGAAGGTATTTAACAATACAAGCACCTCTACTGAATATTATAAGAGCCAAGATACAAGCATGCATAATAATAATCATATTACATCACTTGCATTACGAATGATGCCACTTCAAAGCCCTGTAGGTCTCATCGTTAGGCACATATAAATAATGCTTACTATACAGGCCAGAGTTGGTATGGTATGTGCAAACGGTTAGTGTTCATTACTGCGTGTACAAACAGAACATGGTTTGAAGGGTAGATCCCCAATGAAGCACGATAAATTATTTCTTACTCAGCAGCGGGAACCACAGGATTGCTTGTGTCATGATTGCCTTGTATATTTATTATGGCAACAGGTATGGTCATCATTGCATACTTTGGTCAATACACTATTGGCCATAGTGTTGGCAATAGTTCAACTATCACTCAATAGCTGCTATTGGACACCATAATAATATTGTCAATAGGTATTATACGCATTGAAGTAGGGCTAATAATACCTTTCACAATTATTGGAAACGCTTATGGTGGTTATTACCAGGGACTCTTATTGGCTGGTTTAGTTTGAAAGAGCATTCCCTCAATGACTAGCTATATAGCTACCTAGCTATAGCTACCTATACACCTAGAAAAGTGTTGATTTTGTCGCAAGGAAACCACTCAGGCTCTGAACACAACTAGCTAGTGACATATATCGACCCACACTCAAACGTGGTGATATGTAGCTAAATACAATAGCTAGAGATCGGAAGCTGAATTACTACACTGAGATTGAACTCACCTCCCGCCTCTACCTGCAGAGTGTAGCTCATCAATGCGACGACTAGGCCAGCCGCGAGAGCGACGTCTAATCTCATTGTGTGCGATCTTGCGGGATCTCCGGCGACCGAGGCGACACGGTTTTTGCGGCAAATAGCACACTGCCGTCACTGCGCTCGGTCCTAATGATTTTGTGGGTGCGGTTTTCACTAGCTAGCTAGGGGTAATGCACTAACGTTATGCGCATGCGCAATTACATTCTCGAGCGTACGGGGGGTGGGGCCTCGTTTCTCTCGCACGTATATACATCAACCAGCACGGACTGATAAACCGACATGGTCCCCTTTCAAGTGCCTCGCTTTGTGTCAGTGGTAGCAGTCATCACTCTGCTGTGTTTCGTTGGACATTCTGCCGCAGGTGAGCGTCCCGTGCTCCCGTATCGTCACTCGCGGAGGCGATAGCTCGGCCCGAGGCTCGGCCATTCCACTCGCACACACACTCACACCGTCACAAACCAGGCTCCGATCTCAATTTTCTTACTACAGAGTGTGGAGACAACGAGTTCACGTGTGACGACGGAGAGTGTGTGACGGAAAGATGGTACTGTGACGGCGAAGAGGACTGCTATGATGGAAGTGATGAAAGGGCCGGGTGTGTTACAACTACTTACCTGCCGACGACGGCGGCAGGCGAAGGGGGATCTTCATCCTCCGTCATTGCAGGTTGCCGTACTTTGTAGTATAAGGATAATGTTACTTACAACAATGCGTTCGCTACTCGGAAACATTATTGCATTTTGGCACAGGGCCCTATTGTTTTCAATTGGGCTTACTGCGACCTGATCCGCTCGCTCTGTGTACCCTGGAGGCTCAGGAAGTCACAACGGCATGTATCGACTCCCGCATGCTATCTACTAGCTAGCCCGCGTCAGACTCTCCGCGGGAGACCGCGAGTAAACTAATAGCCGGCCCAGTCCCATCAATTAGCAATATCGCGCATGCGCAGTTCGCCGATGGTTTGCGTATTTTGGCACAGGGCCCTATTGTTTTCAATTTCTAAACTTAGCACCCATGCACTGGCATATTTCACATAATTATGTGAATGACAAGTGATACAAGCACACCTGTTTATTTGTAGATGACACTGTCTTGATTTTCATAAATTTTGCAGTGTTTTTCACTTGTCAATAATATGCGTTGCTTGGTTAATGGTGTTTACAAATCACATGCTTGCATAACACTGCCACAATTTCACACTTTTGTTCTCTCACTATTATGATAGAAAACTTCATGATAATACTTAATCTCTTTCCATTAGTTGGACTTGTAATGGGATTTATTGCAATTGTTATCGGATTATGCGTATGCTGCATTTTTTGCTGTCGACCTCCCGGCCACCGTATCGTCAATGGAAGGTGGCAGCCAGTTCCTTGGGTGGGACGTGCCCACGAGACAAGGAGTGCTGCTGTGCTCAGAACCAGTTCCGTATCTACTGCAAGAAGAGAGACTTCGTTCAACACTTCAGCCTATGGTGTTGGTGGTGGCCGAGGGAGCAGTGTTGTTATGTACTCTGTGGCTGAACCTCAGCCTCCCACGTACACACACACGACTTCATTTCCACCCATTCAGCGAGCTCCTCCTACTGCACCTCCTACTCACATGCCTCAGGTACAGAGCATAGTTTACCTGTTTAGCTGAAAACAAAGTGTAGCTATAGCGGCAACCAATGGTGAGTAGAGCGAGAGTATGTATAAAGAGTTTAAATACAGCCCCCAGCTTGACTAAAACAAACTGCACTTGCTGGTGTCACTTCTCCATGTGCTGTTCTTTCAGTGTTAGCTATGTTAATGTTTTGTCCTACAGTATGAGTCCAGTTCCTGGCAGCCACCTTATCCACCAACAGTCCAAAGTGCAACTTACGACTCCGCTCCACCTCCTTACACCTCATCCTCAGCCCTTCCCCCTCTTCCCACTGGTGACCGCGCCCCCAATGACGTCATAGTCCCACTACAGACTGATCAATCATTACCTAGTGCTCCTGGACTGGGTACACAAGAAGATATCCCACCTCCTTACTCTTCAGTTATGTCTGCGCCTGTTGATAGCACTGTTATGTAGGATGAATTCCGTTTGTGTTTTGTTCATTCATTCTGAACCCCTTTTTGGAGCTATTGCCAAGCGCTTACGCGTTTTTCTTCTCTCTTTAGATTTAACTATATTCACCAGTGAAGACAACGACACGCATTACGCTAGATACCGCACTACCCACTTGATGTTCCCAGGACAGTGATAGAGATATCCTACAAAAAACTTTCCCGCTCATGCAAAATTCCATTATGATCTTACATCCTTGCGAAGTAGAACATGTTAGCGTGTAGCGTGATGAGCTCCTTCGCTGCTCACATGAAAAGCAAAAACGTAACACCTCAAAAAAACCGTTTTGTTGGCAGTGTTGAAAGTTATTATAAAGATAAAAACCAAATGGCCTGTAAAAATGACACTGGCGCTTGAAGTTGGAGATTAGCAATGTAGGATGTAGGTGTGACAGGTACATATTGGTTCACGACCTTTATTCGCACACCTTCCTGTCTTTAGACCCACAACACTTTGGTGTATGATAGTATTATATATAACAATAGTGTTTCAGAATTGTAGGAGCACAAGGTATATACAGCATTAAAAATTAGTGTTGCTTGCCCTATCAAGAAATTAGCAAAGCAGTAGCTAATAGAAGTTTGCAAGGTCCTATATACAGACCTTGTTATCTATTTATTCTAATGATGACTCTATGGCTAGAAATGTGGAAGGACGACTGTTGTGAAAGTGGCAATCAGCAGGAGTGATTGTACCGACACTGGAACCACAGCTGAGCTTGTTGTTGTTTCAGGAGCTGAGAGTGGTGCAACATGAAACTAAGAAAATGTCTATAGCTACCAGTTACAGTACGCATCATGAAATATGGTCCAACATGAAATAAAAACTCTTCTAAGAGTAAATATGAGTAATTATGTATATACCAGATACCATCTAACCAACCTTCAGTGTTTGTTGTCATTTGAGGTGTATCTGGGCTTGGAGTCATAATATCTTTAAAAAGTATTTCTCATTGCACAGCCTTAGGAAAATTCTGTCATGCAGTACAGCCAACTCACCACAGATCGTCTCATCACTGTTGTCTCCACAGTCATCGCGGTCGTTGCACATATTGTAATAATATATACAGCTTCCATCGGCACAGGAGAACTCGTGTAACTGACAGCCTGCACCTAATAATGTGCATCATTGTCAAGGCCATAATACAACTTTTTTTGGCTTGAGAGACCCTATCATTCAATAGCTGTGGTCTCTCACCATACAATAGTCCCTATACCCACAGACAATGTGTATTCTCACACTAGGCCCTCAAACAGCAAAATTGGTGAAGGTTTATCTAACCCTGCAAAAGTTCTGGTAACTCACTCCTACTTAGTCGGTAAAGGATTGCAGTGTAAGATGGAGATATTTCACAGCCAATTCTGGCAGACTCGGATCCACTGAGAAAATGCTTTTCATAGAGAGAGCCAGAGTAAGCCCAGCCAATGGTAGCTCCACCCCACTCCATCGCTCCACATTGGTAGATGAACACGGCAAATGAGGAAATCTCATTTGTTATCAGGACAGCTTGGAATGTACTGGTGGTTGACTGAAACAGAAACATTGTACATACTAGTTGATATGAAAGTTCAAAAAGATGTGCCTTGCAAATGCAGTGTACAGCAAGGTGATGTCCTCGGAAGCATCCTTATTCAGTTGCAGTGTGCTATAATTATATATCAACACTGATCAAAGAATAGCTGCAGACTTACCGATGATCCACCTCGTTGAGCTACACCACTCCACTCCACTGCCATCATTCTAGTCCCACGAAACGAACTCAGTCCTGTCAGAAGCTGAACAAAGCTACTGACTGGACCAATGTCTTGGTGGGAGGTGGTGAACGGCATGTACTTCACGGTGCCTGCGATGCTGGTGTTAATGCCAGCTCCATACGGAGAGAGGATATTTTCTGATCCTGGGAGACTAGGTGCTTTCGTTATTATTGGAGGCGTTCCCATCGATATATATCCATTTGTAGACACCTATAATATGAGAGTATAAGGATCTCGTCTGTAGCAAACGGTGCTGGCAAAGTTGCATCCTATATAGCTAACTTTTTGTCCAATCAAATCTCTTTCCAATTTAGTCACACACTAATATTGCTGATACATGATTGGATAAGACAGAGACAAGTGGGCATCGTAATGTTAGATGGAGAACACTTTAATTAATTACCCACTGATCCTGATTTGGTATCTCTATCCTGCCTCAAAGTCACTTTCCCTTTGGTAATCCCCATAAGGGTGTCAACCATTTTGCATTTTTTGTGGGCACATTAATAGAAGGAGAAACAAACCAACTATACCCAATACTTTGACTACTATTGGAGTATGGAATAGCTCTATCTTGCTGCCCCTATCTCTATCCTGCCTTGAACTCACCTTCCCTTTGGTAATCCCCATAGTCCGTAATAGGGGTGCCAACCCTTTTGCATTTTTTGTGGGCACATGAATGGAAGAAGAGACAAACAAACTATCCCAAATATTTTGACTATAGTTGGTGTATGGAATAGCTATATCTCGCTGTTCCTGTAGCTCATATTTAGGACAACACACCTTCAAATTTGCTGCAACTTTTGCTGTGAAGTCTCTTAATTGTGTATGTTACCCCTTTACTGACACAGGCAATCATGTGCCTACGTTTCTTACATAGACAGTGCTAATAGTTCCAAATCCAAACGGAAAGTCTCCATTGGTAGAGATTTGATCACTAGATGCATCATCTGAACGTGGCAGAGTCGTTGGAGATGACAGAGTCACAAACTCCAATGTGCCTTGGGAGAGAAAAAGAGGTTTAGGCTTCAAATTTTAGCAGGAAGGCAGAACATCCCCGCATAGCTAGGTATATATAATACTGCTTCTGTTAATACTCACAGCTTCAGTTTGTAACTTAAGAATGGAGGAAGCAAATGATATGATATACTCAGGTTGCAGCTATGGCACTGGGGGCATTGACAACACACCCAGAGAGATGGGTTGGCCAATGCTAGAAGTGGAGGAGGAGAAAAATTCCATAGTAAAACTACTTGCTCCCCACCGCCAGTGTAGTGGCGTAGCTTTGGCTACCTAGCTATGGGTTGGCAAATGCTAGAAGTGGAGGAGGAGAAAAATTCCATAGTAAAACTACTTGCTCCCCACCGCCAGTGTAGTGGCGTAGCTTTGGCTACCTAGCTAACTTCTGCGCTAGTTGGCAAAACTGCATGCAAGCAAAGCGAAAACTATTTCTCTATCCATATTCCGTTGTCCACAGCCATAGTATTCCGTACTGTGGAATTACTCGAATGCAGACTGACGTAGCAGACTGACTCGGTAGCTATCCTGGCCAATACATAGGAACTGCAGGCTCGCAAGGGTAGCTAGCTAGCTACTTGAATTTCTGGCCTGAAGTATAAAGCATGAATGTCTCACCAACACCCTCCGCAGCTCTGAGCAACTGAAAGCGACAGGTGAAAGCCGTCAATACTAGTAGTCCAGTTGTGACAGAGACCGACATTGCGCCAAAAACAGTCCTCGTCAGTTGACTCTAGCTATTGCGTTTGCGGAGAACAAGATGGCTCGATTGGGAGTGAGTTATAAACACGACGAATGCGACCTATCGCGCATGCGGCCGCGTAGGCGGAATTTGCGCACGCGCGCGCGCACTTTCGCTTGGCGGCCGATCGGTGGTGGTCGATCGGAGCATCAAGGGAAGATGCAGCCGTCGACCATTGCCGTTGCTACAGCAGGGAAACTGGTGGCTCTGCTGTACTGTTTCCAGCTTTCTGCAGCTACTGCTGGAACTGGTAAAGAGGAACACCATTATCTGTGGCATTCAAACCTAACGGCCTTCAGTGTTCATGTAGCTACGTACTTGTTTCTACGTGTATAACTTCTCCCATTACCCCCTCCTTCCCCGCCAAGGTTCTTTGGGATTCCTAACTCTCTTTTCTCCATCAACTCTCTCTCCCTCCGATGATGGATTTAGTCCAGCCATCAACGTGGGCAGCGATGGCTTCCGATTTGGACCAGATACTGTTACTGGTGTCTATGTGAGTAGCATTCAGTAGTTGATTGGTTAACTATAGTTCTAAACACGGAGTTGAAGTATGAAATTTTTACCTAAAGTGTAGATTCGGCCACATTTCAGAAACTTTAGCAAAGTTTCACTTTCTTTATAGGTAAGTATCAATGGCTATATGTCCATTGGGGCATCTGTTTCTACTATTTCTCCAAATATACCGGGAACCAGCAACATAGTGTCACCGTATGGAGATGATATTGATACCAGAACAACAGGGAGTGTTCGATACACCCAATTCACAACCACAGACTCCCAGATCAGTACAGTCAGTGGCTTCATTCGCTCTCAGACCTCTGCCGGTTCTTTCTTTGGAGCCAGAATGATGGTGGCAGAATGGAACCGTGTACCCGAGTATGGCAGAAGTTTGGTGAGTTGTGTCTAAAACATGCACAAGAAATTGATCCAGGAACACACTTGCTGCACCTCATACATTTTGGCATTATTTCTAAGGATTCACAGGTATTAGTATTATTATGCATGCTGGAATTATGGCGTAAGAATCATTGCCAATAGAGAATTGGTGAGCTGCTTGGCAATGGCGGATCCAGGGGGGTTCCTTGGGATCTACGGAGCCCACCTTTTTATCGTTTCGCGCGCATGCGTTGCCGGCCTCGTGCGTGCGCACGAGTGCAGTCAAAACGTTCTTGGACAGCGGAACCCCCCCTTTCAAAATCCTAGATCTGCCACTGCCTGGGGTTTGTATCTGATACACTCGTCTCTCAATTGACCGTGCAATGCATGTAAGATGGGTTGAGACATGTTTTAGAAATGAGTAAATTGTTCATCGAAAACATTCATCTGTAGGCTCTTACAAGTACGTTCCAAGCAGTTCTCATCACTGACGGCTCAACCTCCTATGCCGTGTTCATCTACCAGTGTGGAGGGATGGGGTGGGGTGGAGCTACCATTGGCTGGGCTTACTCTTGCTCTGTCTATGAGAAGCACAGTCTACGTGGATCCAACTCTGCCAGCATTGGCTGTGAATACTCTGCCACCTCCAGTGCTGTAATATACAGGCTAGGTAAAAGAAATGCAGCTCCCACACCCTTTGTCTGCATGCCACACACATCGCACCTCAGACTCCAATACCAACCCTCTGCAACCTATTTGAACTGAGGCATGATTTGCTTGACGATACACTTGATATATACCCCAAAGCTATGTTGCCTCTTTCCGTAGTGTGCATATAAGTCAGACTGTTATTTTTCCAATCTCTCAGACAGATGCACATCTTCAGAGTTTCCCTGTTTCAACGGAGAATGTGTACACGAGAGTTTGGTGTGTAATGGCTTTGACGACTGTGGAGATAACAGTGATGAGGAACAGGGTTGCGGTAAGCTCACGGAAATTTGATCTGCTCTATATATATATGCGTGTTATACAAGACGTGCTAAGAGAATAGCTACTATACTTTCTCAATGGAACTAATGCCTAAGTGATCGTGGATTTTTTACAATTTTAGATTCGGGTGGATGTGACTCTTCACAGTTTCCCTGTGGCAATGGATGGTGTGTGCCTGAGGATTTCGTGTGTAATGGGTTTGACAACTGTGGAGACCACAGTGATGAGAACCAGAACTGTTGTAGTAAGTCACTTTTTCGCATTCGAGCTGTTTTTTAAATAGAACAAGGCTGTACAGTCGCACAATTGTGAAATAAACGGATTTGTGAGTTAGTGTGTTCTTCTTAGGTTGCGCAGCCTATCAGTTCACCTGTGACAATGGAGTCTGTGAGTCTCAGGGTGTTGTATGTGATGGATTTGACGACTGTGGAGACAACAGTGATGAGGAACAGGACTGCAGTATGTATAAACCTAGTAAAATGTGCATAAGTCGATGTTTTCCTACGATCAAGCATGTTTCTGTGCCATACTATACCTTTATGAAAAAGAATAAAAATGTTAACTGTGGATTTATGTATGATTGGCTACAGATAGTGAGAATTTTGTTGGACTGGCAGTCGGTGTCTTTGCTGGACTCACTTTCCTACTCTGCTGCTGTGGTGGATCGATTTGCGGCTGTCTCTTCCTCTGTTCCAGGAAACGACACCCTCCTCAAACACATGTCGTTGCAACAACCCCCGCTACTGGACCGACTGTAGTCTCCACGACTGAGAGTAACACTCCAATCAGCCTACCCCATGCAACTTCCCCCGTCTCCTTATTCTCCACAACCTTCACCGACAGTTTACCCCACTCAGCCTCCTTCCCCCGTGGCTGCCTACCCACCGCAGCCTCAAATGATGTATCAAAATGCTCAGTTCAGTCCGGGATTGGCCCCACCTTCGTATGATAGCGCAACAAGCTATCCTACTGCGGTACGTATATTTGCTTTACCACTGAAGTTCAGCAAGCATGACCTTGTAACTGCGTCAACTAATGGGGATGTGCAATTAAAGGAGATGTTAATTGCAGGGTCTTCTCTCAAGTCCAGTGGCCCCCTACCCAGCCCAGCAGACTTCTCTATACCCTCCCCAGCAGATGGGTCCCTATCCTCCTGGGCCACAGTCTCCCCTCTCTGGTGGATATCCTCCTCCATCTCCAAACCAGTCTTACCCTTCCTCGGCCACTGCCCTGTGACGTACAAGCAGTGTTGCCCAGCATGCAGGATTTATCCTTGATCAGCCATAGACTGTTAACTAGCTAGCCTGAACTAAAACATCACTACAGCTCATATGAAGATCCACCCACCTCTCTATGTGTGTATAATATATATAGCGCGAGTCAAGATGCGCACGCAAGTCCGCACCATGCATGCACGCCGCCTACCTGATTACGTGGGGGCCGTGTATAGTGCCGGGCGCGGGCGGCCCCGCCAAACTAACCCACGGCGAAGTAGTAACGTTTTGTCGCGGATGAACAATTAATAATGAGGCCGTTATTAGCGTCCACTGCTGCTACTATAGGACTACTGGTGACTCTACTCTACTGTGTCCAGGTTTCTGCAGCCACTGCCGGAACTGGTATGGCTAGCTAACCTCTTTGATATTATGGAAGATAGGCGTATGGCGGTCCTGCGGATAATTCGACCACGGAAGTTTAGGCGAGTTGTGGTAGAAAGAGAGTGTCGACATGTTTGAATGAATCTGAAAGCCCACTGTACATAGCTAGATGACTAGCTAGTCCGAGTGATAATTTTGTTGCAGCTAGCCTGTGGCCTCAATAGTAGGCTCTATTCTTCTTTTTCACGTCCTCTGCAGTGCTTTTTTCTGTGTGAAACTAGAAGAAGGAAGAATTAGGTGTCACTACTATACTTAGTGGTCTCGGTGGAAACCGAGTGGACGGTTTGTATAGAAGTCATACAATAATAACAGAAGTGTTCTCTTGCAATAGCTAACTGCTTTCACAATGACGTAACATCCAGCGATATTATTATGGGACTGTTAAAGCCAGGCCACTGGTGATTCTAGTTGGGTTGCACACATCTAAAACAGTTTAGCCTTCTATAAACAATGAATTCATGAGCATAAAGTATACCAGTTGAGCAGAATACAGTTGTCATTTCAAGTCGAGTATGAGAATGAAAGTATGTGTGTGTTGGTTTGACAAGAAGAGAAATGAAGCTCTTCATGCAGTAGCTATTATTCTATTAACATCATTCTAACCAGGAAACGCCAACTCCCTCTGTGCTAGGGGACAGCCTTATAGGTCTATTCAGCAAGTGTATATACTCTGAACCTGGCTGCCTGTTACTCACATCCTGTTTGGAGTATGTAGTACACATCAATCATAATTCCCTATCAGGCTCTTTATTATAGTAAACTGCATGGTCCCTTCTTCCTCTTTCGATACAATGTTTCTGTCGCCCAATACAGGTTCTCTGAGATTCCTAACTCTCTTCTCTCCCACAACTCTCTCCCCCTCCGATGATGGATTTAGTCCAGCCATCAACATGGGCAGTGGCTTCAGATTTGGACCCAGCACTGTCACAAGGGTCTATGTAAGATCAATTAGCTAGTGCGGTGGGCTTTTTGTTCTAATAGGCACTATTATTATAATGTCAACCTCAAAGTTCAGTACTTTACAATCTTATGCACTTGTGGCCAGTGTCTGTAGCTGGTTATGTTTTAATTTACTTCAAATCTCTTCGTTCTATTATTTTCTACTATAGGTGAGCAACAATGGCTATATATTCATGGGGACTCTTAGTATAGTTATTTCTCCAAATATACCGGGAACCAGCAACATAGTGTCACCGTATGGAGGTGATATTGATACCAGAACGACAGGAAGTGTTCTATACACCCAAATCACAACCACTGACTCCCAGATCAGTTCAGTCAGTAGCTTCATTCGCTCTCAGACCTCTGCCGGTTCTTTCTTTGGAGCCAGAATGATGGTGGCAGAATGGAACAGTGTACCCGTGTATAGCAGAAATTCAGTGAGTATGCTGGATTATTCTATCCTGTTTTTACTGAATTACATTCATCTTTTGACTCTCAGTCCATAACCAGTACGTTCCAAGCAGTTCTCATCACTGACGGCTATGACTCCTATGCCGTGTTCATCTACCAGTGTGGAGGGATGGGGTGGGGTGGAGCTACCATTGGCTGGGCCTACTCTGGCTCTGTCTATGAGAAGCACAGCCTCAGTGGATCCAACTCTGCCAGCATTGGCTGTGAATACTCATCCAACGCCAGTGCTGTAATTCACAAAATAGGTGAGGAGTGAGGGGAAAGAGTGAACTTGCTTCAAGATGTGTTTTTGGAATCGTGTGAACCCAGAGTATGTGTACTGTGTTCTTTTCAGATTCAGATGGATGTACATCGTCACAGTTTGTATGTGCCAATGGACGGTGCGTCCCTGAAAATGTTGTGTGCAATGGTGTGAACAATTGTGGAGACAACAGCGACGAGGAACGCAATTGCGGTATTTACGTACCATAGCTGCATAATTATCAAAACAGAGTGCAGACCCTGCATACTTTCAGTCTACCCTTCCACCAGGAACAATCGTTGTGTTGCACATGTTGGTTGTTTTGAAAATTGAGCAGACTCAGATTTATTCTTTCAGGTTGTACAAAATCGCAGTTCACCTGTGCCAATGGTATGTGTGAGTCTCAGGATTTTGTATGTGATGGATTTGATGACTGTGGAGACAACAGTGACGAGGAACAGGACTGCAGTATGTTCATATAAACTGGAGATAGCATGATCGTAGCTGGTCCTGTCTAGTGTTTATTTTCCCAAAAATCTGGCACATTCTATCACATGAACTGACAATAACCGATTGCGTTCCCATACTGTTTCAAGCGAAACGTTATTTTTAGCTCTTATTTTACTAATTGCAGGTAGTGTGGATGTTGGACTGGCAGTTGGTCTCTCTTTGGGACTTTTGTTCTTCATCTGCATCCTTGGAGCTATTGGTGGATTTGTCTTCTATTGCTCTAGAAAACGACAGCCTCCTCAAACCGGTGCTGCTGAAACAACCTCTGCTACTGGAGTTGCCACAACAGAGAACACTCCAGCGGGTTCCCCCACATATCCTCCACGATCTTCACCGACCATTTACCCAACTCAAGCTTCTCCCGTGGCTTCCTACCCACCACAGCCGGATGCTCAGCTTAGTTATGGAGTGCCGCCCCCTTCTTACGATGTTCCAACGTCAAATTATTATACAACTGGGGTACGTATAGAGCTAGTTTGCCAAGGTCTCAGCACATGCAGTGGGTATAATAGCTTAACAGCAGCTTTGGCTAGTGATCTTTATATAATGTGAGAAACAAATTATTGTGCTGTTTGCATGTCCTAATCCTATGCCGAAAGAGTAGCGTCCTGAGCACGAATTTTTCCGATCACGAGTTGCTCTTATATACTATTGCAGGGTTTTCCACAGTCTGGTTTGGTGGCCCCCTATCCTCCTGAGGAGATGGCCCCCTACCCTCCTGAGGAGATGGCCCCCTATCCTCCTGAGGAGGTGGCTCCCTACCCTCCCCAACATGAGGTTGCTCCCTATCCCCCTGAACCTCAGTCTCCTCACTCTGGTGGATATCCTCCTCCATCTCCTCACCAGTCTTACCCTTCCTCGCCCACTGAACGTGCCCGTCGACACGGTATTGTGCCGAGCACCGTTGCACAGCAAGCTGGATATCTCCTTAGTTAATATATTATTCTAGTCTGAACGTACATTTGTGTTATAGAAGAGTAATCTCCATCGCTGCTGTAAACTGAGACCGCAGAATGCACATGCAGAAGGAAAACACAGCCAAATTTGTTCTGCATACTCACATGCCACCTGTGCTGACGTGCGTGTGTGTGCTCCTACATTAATTCATGGAATAGCTACTTGGACTCAAATCCTATGTGCTTGTCCATGCACACTAGCGGGAACAACGCTTAAAGTAGTTAGTTTTCTAGATATCAGTCCATGAGCATGCCAGTGCTTGCAGAGAAATAACTTGTTCTTACTGTGGCAAGGCCAGCCTTGCGCATAGCAATGCTCATCTCTCTCAGTGACTCTGGCTGAGTCTCACATCTGATTATTTTCCATGTACAATCAGTTTTTATACGAAGGACAAGGTAAGATTACGTAATGAGTAATAAGTAAACAGTCTACGGGTGCTACATTACTATAACATCTGTGAGTAGCTAGCTAGTACAAATAATGTATAGGTAGAGTTCCTGGTCTTTCTACTAGTATGTCTCAGAGGGGATTTTAAATTGAAGGGAAATTAAACACTGAGTGTCATATATCTGCCCATTATGTCAATCATCGTAGCCACCAATTCAGAAAAGCTTGGCCGCTTTGTTGAATGCCGGTCCCAACAGCCTGTCAAAACTTCATACCTGGTGACAGAGAAAAATATGTATAACCATAACAGCAGAGACAATGAAAGTGCAAACCCTCGGCGAACTGCGCATGCGCGATACTGCTAATTGATGGGCTGGGCTATTTGTACTCGCGGTCTCGCGCTAGTAGCCAGCGGAGAGTCTGACACGGGCAAGCTTAAGTAGTAGATAGCATGCAGGAGTCGATACACGCCCTTTCCTGTAGCTTCTTGTGCCTCCAAGGTACACAGAGCAAGCGAATCAGGACGAGGGAGCCAGCATACCGCGTCTAATATACGCATGCGCGCAACGCGGTCCGTGACCGTGCCAGTTTGTCGCTCTCGAACGCAGTCGTTTCAGGAAATTCGCCCTTTTATTTTTCAGGCTCGCGTTGTTCTGAAGCCGCTGGTATCGCTAATAGGCCGCCTCGTAGCCTGTAGTGCCAGAATAAGCGTCGACACACACACACTCTCTCTCTCTCTAATTAACAGCATGGGAAGTTTTGACTTTAGTAGACATAACATCCACAACAAGGTATAAAACAGCCAAGCTTGCCTGTAGTAGCTCAGTTAGGAGCAAGAGTGAAGAAAGAAAGAAGTGAAGAATAGAGAAGACCAAAGAATTAAGCAAGTTATTACTAAAGATACGTAGCTGCTATACTAAAATTGCCTTTATGTAATGAAGGTTAGTTTGTAAGTACAATAATTGTAGCCATGTAGTAGGCAAATCTGGACTCCAACCAGGTGGAGTGGCCTCGCCCTTTCTGGAGTGTCTCACGTGTCGGGAGTTTAAAGAGGCCGAAACGCGTGTGACATGGTGAAAGATTGGGAACTCCCCTGATGACCAGTAACAAAGAGCCTAGCACTGCACCTGCATGTTGCTGGACTTGTGGATAGGTTTACATGTACTTTTAAGCACCTGGCTGGCTGCATGCGATGACGCCGACAAAAGCCGCCCGCCCTCTCTCGTTAGCTTTAGTCCTGCCTACACTTTACCTCTCTCTCTTCTTTCCCCAATCACAAACACACACACACACACACACAGACAGACAGACAGACAGAACGACTACAGTAACCCTCGCTGCGCATGCGCGCCGTGGGTTAACAAGTAATACCATAGCCTTGTTCTTTTTAACCAAGGCTAATACTACCGAACTTTTCCATGTAAAAGTGGTTTTCAAGCATGTGCATGAAAAATCAGTTAAAGGGAATGTGGCAGTATACAAAGGATAAATTTAGAAACTGTTACTAAAAATGGAAACGTAATATATTTCTGCCCTATTGTTTAGGTGTAGCATTTCTAAGTTTAGCTCTTATAATAATTATAGCTACTGACACATTCCCTGTTACTAAGCCAATTCACTACTTATAAACCCACTTAGGTTACACATGTATACTAAGATGACTTGTTAACACACAACAGAATTGTCCTTACATTTCTTGAGGGCAGGACCCATTATCAGGCTGGGCCAGTCTACCTCCTTTCTTCAGATAGTTAATAAAGACGTCAATATCCATTGAATAGTAGGGCTTGCCACCCAGCGAGAATACTTCCCAGCACGTAACTCCAAATGACCACTAAGAGTGTAAGTATAATCTACATGGACGACAATTACAAAACATTTGCTGACCACATCGGTTTTCTCGTCAAATTTTCCCTCCATTATGCTCTCAGGTGCCATCCACCTGATGGGGAACGCGCGTCGCTCACTGTCTCTGTTCATTCTGAAATAGTCTTTTGACTCCGTGTTTACCGAGAGACCAAAGTCAGCAATCTTTATCACGAAATTCTCAGCAATCCTGGGGGATTTAGAAGATGGTAGCTAGCAGTTGTTTTCGGTATCAAAAAGGGCTAAAACTTACATGCAGTTCCTAGCTGCAAGATCTCTGTGAATCAATCTCTTGCTGGCCAGGTAGGCCATCCCTTTTGCTATTTGCAGGCACGTCGAGAGACACTTAAATGGTAGAGTCATTGCCTAAAAAAAACACGTATTTTGTGAAGAGAATGTGACAGTATAATCAATAGGACCCAGCACAGTCATAATTGTGTTTTCACAATTTAAGTTTTATACTTAGTGCCCCATTTACTAACTACTTACAGAACTCGCAAGTTGCTCCTTATTTTTCCTCAAGTAAGTGAGCAGATCGCCATGACTCATGAACGGCATCACAATATTCGCAGTATTCTCCGAGTCAATTGAGACTCCAATCAAATTCATCACATTCGGATGGTTTAACCTGGACATCACTGAGCACTCCTCCACCAAAGCTGTAGTCTCATGTGTACTGAACATACCTGATTTTTTGGATCATATGAGCGTTATAAGTGATTAGGTTATTAGCTATACCTTTCAGTATCTTTATTGCAACAGTGGTAACAGTATTTCCCTCCCTGAGAATAGCCTTGTATACAACCCCATATTCACCTGTGATGAAAGAAAACCATTAGTAGCTATATATACCCTCGGTGTCTACATAAGGTTTTTATACCTTGTCCAATGCATGATTGTAAAGCAATTACGTCATTTGGGATAAGCATATTCTTGAGTCTCATCTCATTTTGTAATTTCATCAGCGACATTTTGCCACCAACTTCATCCACACTATCACCTATGGTGTACAAATAGAGAATGCCCCATCATTTACCTAACAAAATCAGGGTGAACCTGTGAACCTTTGAAGAACTGTCTCAGTGTTTATAATTTTTCACACAGAGCAGAAGCAAATAGAAAGATCATTTGGCATCAATTTGCATGCACTGCCACATTAAGCTAATTAGTATACCTTTTGTGTCAGCCACTTCATTTGTATTTCTTTTCTTGGCTGATTTTCTACCTTTAGTATCTCTTTCCTCACTCACAACTTCATCTAGTTTACTACTTTTTGCATCTCTTTGTTCAGTAACTTCATTTGGTTTTTTACCCCCTGTCACTTCATCTGGTTTTCTACTTTTTGCACGGCTTTCTTTGGGAACATTATCTGGTTTTGTATCTCTTTGTTCAGTGACTTTGTCTGGTTTTGTAAAACTTTTTTCAGTCACTCCATCTAGTTTTCCAATGTTCATCTCTTCAGTGACTTCATCTGGTTTCCTGCCCATGATATCATATAAATTATTGGTCAAGCTTAGAAGCAAAATTTACAGCACTTAGCTTTTCTAATAATTATTATGGTTGCAGTATTTTTACCCTAAAACAATTCCATTACCTTACAACCAACGTGGCCCTTTTCCTTCTCCGGCGAATGAAGAATAAACTGGCAAGAACAGCAAGAACCACTAATAGGCCCACTGCTACTATAGCTGAGACGGTTGCGGCGGGGATCACAACCTTTGCACTGTCGTCCACGTTGTTGAAAGAAGAGACCCGATCAGTCGGGAAGTTGGCGACTGTGTATTTAATAAATGTGCAAAGAACATTACATTGTCAGTCCTGTTAAAATTGTATTCACTAAAGGCAAGAATGTTCCTAAACCATAAACCACACAATCTGGAATAATAATAATTTTTTTATAAATTAACCAACTTACGAGTAGGTTGTCCACCATTTAGTGGGCATAAGTCAAAGAGGTTGTCCGAATTATTTTGGATTCCTGAACAGTCGGCCCGAACCTTGATTAGAAAGGAGTTCCATTGGATTGGACACGTTTCACTCAACTGGTTGCATTCTTCCTCGCACACGGGAAGAGGGACAGCCCGGTCTCCACAGGATGGGAGGTAGTATTGGCACATCAGTCGTATTGTCGATTCCACGCAGTCATCTTGCTGCGCAGTGGACTCCAGTTCGTCCTCAAAGTCAATTATCATTCTGAGATTCTCCAGGAACTGTTGGTCATGTCTTACAAACACGTAGTCTTCCCCACTTTTGTAAACACTATCGCAAGGACTACCGGCATAAGGTATATAGGACGAGAATGGCACACACGTTCCATATCTATGAAACACGGCTGATTAATGGACAGCTAGCCAAACATTACTGCTTTCTTTACCTGTTCAAACATCGCTGCGTTCCTCTAGCAGGAGCCATGTTGAAACCATCACATTCGTCTAGTAGTTTAGAGGATAAAAAATTTGAAAGCATGCCTTCTGGTAGCTATTAGTTATACCTGAGTCTAGGCAGGTTATTGTGGTGGGTCCACCAGTACATGGTAGCCTTTGGTCAAGTGTTTTATTGAAGTGAATCTTGCAGTCAAGTACGACAGACTCATTGCCAGAGCAGCTAATACCAACACCGGAACTGATGAGATTATTTCCTACAATCACTTCTGGAGATCATAAGTAAATTGTATCAATCGTTGCACAGTCATAGTCAAAAGTATGTAGTTTATTCAAGGTGCAATTAGAGTTTATCCACAGCTATGAAAACTGCCGCCATCGCGTCAATGCGGGATTTGTTGCCCTCGTGTCCATATGGGATTTGTTCGCACCATTGTGATGTACAACGCTTGGGTATACTGCATCACAACAGTGCCAACAATTCCCATGCGGCACTCATGCAGGCCCAGGCTAATAACAACTAACCATATGTTGGGAGGCCCAACTGTCTACATATGACAGTAGCCTCCTCCACTCCCCAACTGCTGTCTCCGACAATCATCCACTCCCGATTTAGGCACACCTCCACTCGACCGCTGCCGTCAGTGTTGCTGTCCACGAGCCTAACTTCTCCCTCGTCACAAACATGCACTGTACGGTGGAACCACCAATAAAGGAAACCCCGAATAAGGGACACACTAGAAGATCTTCTCAATAAGGACACACTTTGAGGTTCCAAATTACTCACTTTAGAAGAGAGGATAACCCCCCTTTAAATGACAGAATGCCTGGTCCCAAAGTGTCCATTATTCATGATTTAATCTTACCAAAGTGCGGTTTTCTTTCACTAGCTCGAAGCACAAACATCCCAGGAACATTGACGTTAGATCTTGAGGGCATGTGAATGATGCTGCACGTCTGTGAGCTAGGGAGTGAGAAATCAACGCCGTTTCCTCTGTCCATTCTGTTTGCACCAACTAATGCGCCGGCACCACCGAGACCACTGACACCGCCACGTATATCACCAGTGGTCCATTGCATGAAGCCATCAGCATAGAGGTAAATGGCGTATGTATCGTCTTCGGATAAAGCTATCACTCCCTGAAAAGTGTTTGTCTAAACAAAAACAAACACAAAAAGATTTATAAAGCGCAAAGCCTTAAAATACACTTTAACTATAATTATATCTGTGCTAAAGTTGTGCTAGCACTAATGCTACTGTAGCTACATCAGATTGTATTTGCGAAAAACCACTAATAATATTGATGCCATGACTGATTTACGATCGACATTCATGACCAGCTGCTGCCCCACACTTACGAAATACAATAATGAATAATAATTGGAAGGCTGAGCTCTATATTATATAGAACAGTTGATTACCTTATCGTGATGATCATTGTAGTAACCGACATTTTCCCATGTAGCCACAGCTACGTGGTCGATGTGTGAAACGGAAGGAAAGACTCTTTGGATGTCGTGTAACGCTCTCTGTTTTGTAGCTTTGGAGTCGTCAGCACCGTACCATATTCTTCCGCCATCCTCTGGTTCAGTATGCGTGTTTGAATAATAGACATCAAACCAGTACGGTGGTACCAGAATACGACCATCTTCAAAGATCTGCAATGAGTTTAAATGGAAGGAGGTTCAAGTACTGGCAAGCAAAGTGTAAGGGCCAAAGATCATTCTATAGTCAACCAGCCCCTTTATAAGCTATTAGACACATGGACACATACTAATTCGTGTGGTTGAGTCTTTGGTACTGTTTAGCCATCTTATAGTGCAGCACGATGCTCCCATTTTTGTCGCATGCTACCACAACATCTGCACTACAATGAAGGCCAGCTGTGTCAATTGAAGATCAACTTTTAGGGAATGCTTCGCAGAAATTTCACCAGATCTGAAAAATTGTACTGACTTTAATAGCCGTCATAACACTAACTAACAGATCGCCACAACAGTATACAGGGTATGAATATGCCTTACATATATTATTTTTCCTTCCAAGTCGACCCAATAGCGGCCGTTTCCTCCTTTGAAGTACTGATTTTGAGTGTCAGTACCAAAAGGGTAGAAATCATTGAGTGGAATTGCAGATACCCCAGATAAAAGTAGAACGCAGCGAGAAAACACAATTTTACAGCCATGCCTATTTAAAAAGGAGAACAATATTCATCTGCCAATAAACTAATCATCACCCTGATTATGTGTTGTAACGTACATTTCTAGGACTAGTTCATCTGAAGCGTGTCTCACACATTTAAATTAAACTCAGCATGCAACTCCCACAACACACGAATACACTATTATTAACCCAAGTTATCTCTCAAATCATTCCTTGGAGACTTCTGAATTGTTTGCTTATTCAATTGTTAATTTCATCATTCTACATACAAATGGAGTTGCAATGCTTAAGGCGTATCCTACATGCATAATGCTGTACAGCTACCATAATACACTTAGGGCGATGTTGCTGCAGATGACCTAACTATAGCTTCTGTGAAGGGATAAACAGAGACTATAATATTATGAGAAATTTTTTGGGTTTCATAAAACCAATGTTCTAAGGAATTTATCGTTAGAAATTACTCGTTGATAGCTACCCCATGCTCTCCGACTCTGCAATAGCAGAAAAGCCATCTACAAACCCCGCAATATTTTGCATGCCGAGGGAGAAACGTTTCATTAGTCATTAGTTACACTTTTCTTACCACAAAGTTGAGGTTCCTTGCAATCCTTGAAGCCGCGAAACTCCGCTGTAACCTCAGGATGGGCAGTTTTTCGGCACGCTGCGCCCACGTATGCAGTTTGACCACACCTACTACCTCGGCGCTAGCGCGCACACGCATGCGCCAGTCGTGGACATACTTCTTATTCTAGGTGGGTCTGGTTGCCTGCTTCCCTAGCAAACTTCAGGACTAATTGTCTTTTGAGAAACACATTACAGCAGTGTCCAAGTATAAAAGAGTATTAAAGTTCTGCTTCCAGTCACTCAGGAACAAGCTGAGTGACACTACCTGCGGTAGGCTGCTGTTTCTTAACCACTCTCTGGTAGTAGCCAGCTAGAACAACAGAAACAATGACTTCTCCCAGGATCGTCAAGAATAGTATTCCCGCGCATACACCAACAGTAAGTCCCACATTTGCTGTGGATCATGTAAACTAGTAAACAGTATCAATTCTCATACATAGCTATATATCCACTACAGCTACAAACTCTAGATGAAAATTGTTGGTGTGTCATGCGTGGCACATGGTATAGCGCAGCATACTTAGCAACAATTTATTTCCCGATCTTCTTTAGGAAAAGATTTACAGGTAAAATTTCTGCCCAAAATATTTTATGCTCATTAATTTTGTCAATTAGCGTTCTATGAATGAAGTGTTTAAAAAAGAGCATACCACAGTTTCGTTCATCACTGTTGTCTCCACAGTCATCACGGTCATTACACATGTCACTCTCAGCAACACAGTATCCGTTGTCACACGAGAAACAATCTAAAGCACAAGTTTAATGTCATCTCAACTCAAACTATAACATACGGCAGTTCTTTTCGTCACTGTTGTCTCCACAGTCGTCGATATAATCACATTTTCTTTTTTTATTCAGGCAGCGTCCATTGTCACAGGAAAATTCAAAGGAAGCACAGGTTGAATGAGTTGGAGAATATAAACCTATTTACCATGAAGAGAAGTTTGATCTATAGTGTTGTTTAATACACCTATGTTTGTTTATTCCTAGCTACCACAATAATGTATGTTTGAAACAATATTGTAAATCAGAAGTATAATGGGTTTCTGATGAGTAGCTAGCTATATCATTGAGTGGAGGGGAGATTATCTGTGCACATACCACAGTTCTCTTCGTCACTGTTGTCTCCACAGTCATCAACGCCATTGCACCTGTCACTGTTCGACGTGCACCCTCCATTCTCGCAGAGTATCTCACAGTTTGGAAGTGCTACATTAATACGTCATGAAGTGAGTGAAATATGTCTAATCATTTTTAGGATTTGAAAACGTACGACAGTCCCGTTCGTCACTGTTATCTCCACAGTCATCATTGCCATCACATTTATAGTCGTTGTACAAACACTTTCCATTGTCGCAAACGAATTCGAAAAGGGAAAAACAAGTTTGTTCAGTTGTGCTTGTACCTATGGGGTAAAGTTGTTGCGAAATCACAGAAGAGAAATATTATAATAACCTACTGCAGTTTACTTCGTCACTGTTGTCTCCACAGTCATCATTGCCATCACATTTATAGTCGTTGTACAAACACTTTCCATTGTCGCAAACGAATTCGAAAAGGGAAAAACAAGTTTGCTCAGTTGTGCTTGTACCTATGGGGTAAAGTTGTTGCGAAATCACAGAAGAGAAATATTATAATAACCTACTGCAGTTTACTTCGTCACTGTTGTCTCCGCAGTCATTGTTGCCATTACACAGGAACACCCTCGGCACACGTTCACTATTGTCACACAAGAATTCATGAGGATAACCAGGTTGCAGTTGAACTCCCTCTGTATTATAGAGAAAGAGATGTCAAGAGGTTTAGTTTGAGCTATAATATACAAAAAAGGGCTGAAAAAGCACACAAATGAGGACATTACAAAAGCACACATTGCGATAAAGTTAACTAACTCCCTCACACGCATCAAGATGTACAAGGTATTATAATTATACGGATTATCACAAAACATTAGGACAATTTAATTGTAGCTGTACTATACCCATAAGAAATAAAGTGGTTAGCATATGAGGTGCATATAATATTATTTTATACCGCAGTTCTGCTCATCACTGTTGTCCCCACAATCATTTTGTCCGTCACATTGGTAGCTCTCAGAGATACACTCTCCACTGTCACATGTGAACTCAAATAAGGAGTTACAAATAGTCTGCGTTGAATTTACACCTGGAGGGAATTTATGACCTTTGTTTAGGTGGGGAAAAACCCAGGTGCACCTGCACGTACCGCAGTTATCTTCATCACTGCTATCTCCACAGTCATCAATGTCATCGCACTTGAAGGCAATTAGAACACATTCACCATTGGTACAAGTGAACTCATGGGGAAAGCAGGCTCGTTGAACTGTGCGTTTCAAACAACCACGAAACACTGAATGATAGTTGTTAGTATGTATTGTTTATCACAATATTATGCGTAATTATTCAAGTAGCCTGTCATTACAAATGGAGCTGGTAACAATTACCTACTAACAAACATGAAACGAGGTACATAATGATATCCACCCTCGAGAGTTTCTTGGTATTTCAATGCCCCTTGTTTAAATCTGTCACTGCTATAAATGGTGTGGTCAGCAATTATCCAATGTAGCTACTATTGTGTAGCCAAATTCCAATTCCAATTACTCTTACCAACGGAATAGCTAAGAGTAGAACTGTGATATCGATCCAAGGCATTATAGCTAGACGACTGACCATACATACACTTAGCTTGTGGTGATGGACAGGTTTTATTAACTTTGGATTGGAGGGCTTGAATCTGGTAATGGCACGTTAGGCGTGGTGCTAGCGTAAATTTAGGCAGAAACAACCGTACTCTTCAACTGACGACGGACGAGACCAGCGCAAGGCTGTTTGCGCAATGGGTTTGCCCTAACTCGCTCGGTGAAGTATCCCATACCTTCAGTCGTTGTGGACAGTTGAAAACGAAAGACCAGGACCACCAGTACAAGCAACTTCACCACAGAACCTGAAATTCGTTCTTTCATCATGGCCGCGCGGCAAACTATTACAGAGCGCGAAGACTCTGTCGCGTCGCGAATCATGCACGCGCCCAACAGGAGGCGCTTAGCGCTGAGCGTTAGCGGCACGCGATTACGATATAAACGCCCGTTTGGGCAAAAATGAAAGCAATTTTAGCTGCCGTATTATACAACTTACAAGCAATAATGCACCATAATAAAAAAATTACAAGTCAGAAAGTCATGTTCATGCGCGTTTTTCTGACATCAATCCCACTAAATTATCTGTGCAGCCCTCAGACGCTGGAGATCAGCCCTGCAGCGTTTTCAAAGAACATATAATTTTAAGGAGTATGAGCTATGATTTCTACCTCAGCTGCACATTCAACGATTGAAGGCAAGCATTCCCCATTCTTGTTGTGACCATTGATGGAAGGTAGTGTGACGTACTCATTAGAAGGAGTACTGAATGAGGTCGTCGAAAAAGCCGGATTGACGGAGGTGCTGTTGGCAGCAACCTGTTTCCTACTCTTTACAGCCAAGTATACCCCAAAACAGACGCAAATGGACACTCCAACGAGTGTTGCGAGGAAGCTAAATGCCACTGACAGTCCAATAGTTAGTCCAACATTCTCTGTGTACGAGGAAACGGCTAATTAAGTACGTCTATGTTATTACCACAATACCACAGTTTTGTTCGTCACTGCCATCCCCACAGTCATCGACTTTATTGCAATTTACATTGTAGGACAGACACTGCCCATTGTTACAAGTGAAGTAGTGTTCAGAGCAACTAGTATGAGATGGAACACTGGCACCTGTATTGGAAGAACTTACACTAGCACCTGTATTGGAAGATACATAATAATGTGAAAGAAGTATGGTTAAAATGTGTCATACTTGTACTACAATTCATTTCGTCACTGTTGTCTCCACAGTCATCATTCCCATTACACTTGTTGCTCTCTCTCACACACTGTCCATTGTCACAGGTAAAGTCAGACGAAGAACATGATGGGGGATCAACCACACCTATCATTATGATGCATAATAATGTGCAACAAGTATGGTTAAAATGTGTCATACTTGTACTACACTCCATTTCGTCACTGTTGTCTCCACAGTCATCATTCCCATTACACTTGTCCACTTCCTCCACACACTGTCCATTGTCACAAGCAAAGCCATTGGAGCAGAGATGCAGAGTAGTATCAACATTACCTATAATTATATTAAGTGTTATTATAAAGGGAATATCCAAAGATAAAACGTAATACCACAGTTTTGTTCATCACTGTTGTCTCCGCAGTCATTTACATCGTTACATCTGTCACTTAATTTCACGCATTTTCCATTTTCACAAGCAAATTCTGAACAGCTTTCATGTAGAGTACCTATAATTTTGAATACATGTAGCTGTGTATTATATTCCTATATAATAAACTTACAATTATTTTCATCACTGCTGTCTCCACAGTCTACAGTGTCATCACATCTGTAAGCACTGGATACACACTCTCCACTGTCGCATGTAAATTGATTTACAAAGCAAGGGCGAGGTGTTGAAGGTCTACCTAGTGAAGCAATTTCGCATCAAAAATTTTTATGCATAAGCTTACAAATACAGAAAGCTCACAGTTTTCTTCATCGCTGCTGTCTCCACAGTCGTCCACCCCATCACACCTGAAGTAGGTCGACACACACGCTCCATTGTCGCATGTAAACTCATAGAAATTACAGCTCGTCCCACCACCAGGAAACCCAGTAGTACCTAGAGCAAAGAGTCAACTGTGGTATAGCTGCTGAAAAGCTATGCATACTGCAGTTCTCTTCGTCACTGTTGTCACCGCAGTCATCAACGCCGTCACACTGTGAGCTCTCGGCCACACAGAGGTCATTGTCACAGGTGAATTCATAGGCCAAATAGCAAGCTGCACCTGAAAGATAATAATGTTGGATCGCAGTAATCTAGCTGTTATGTAGCTAGCTAGCTATGTTAAGGAACCCCAGTTTTGTGAGTCTCTATGTTTCTCTAGGTAATACCAAACATTAACACCTTACAGTTCCCTTTTTGAAGTTGTAATGATGCAGTTAGCCTTGTTGACAATGATATTATTATTATGTTCTGTTTGTTAAAGGGTGTGGGCTAGCATTACACTGTTGTGCACAGCACATGGATGCCAATGACATCACTTACATTAAAATACACAAAATTCAATAGTCTACAAATACTTTACTTGGCCTTATCATCAATAATTTCCAGGTGTGGCATATCACACCATTGTACATTCAGACGACAAACAAAGTTTGATAATTATTATCGTTAAGAAAAATAGGACGAAGCACGTATTAGTTAACGTATAGGCGGCGAGGCGGAATATACAGGAGATATACACCGGACGAGGGCGTAGCCCGAGGCCGGTATAGTTAGTTAACAGCCGAGGAGGATTTCCTGTACGCGCCGAGACGCCTGACGTTAACTGATTTGTAGTCCAACTAGCCAATCACAATGCTGAATTTCTGCTTGCGCTAATGGACTGTTGTGTAAACTTTGGAACCAGACAATTTGCACTACGCCCAGCGCTAGATGTTGTGATAAGGACTTCCTGTCCAATACTGATACGTACCAGTGCAGCCCGCAGCCCACAGCTCAGAATACAGCGTATATTCCTAGCACCGGGTTGTTTGAAGTTGGACTACAATAGCTTTTATCACACTCTCACAATTATATACAATTTTCCAGCTCTTGCTTCGGATAATAATCTCGGTATGCTGCACAATACCTACCTCCGTTTTTTGGTAAACGGCAGATCACGGCCATCAGGACCAGAAGCCTCGTAGACGATGAAATCACCGACTTCATTGTGTCCGCAAGGCCTACAAAATAACTCCGCGTGCTCACTGACTTTTCATATCGCGCGCATCGCGCAACCGCGCAGCATTATTGGCGGCTCGTAGGCACGGGATCTGGACTTAGTGTTATCAACAACATGACTCCAAATCTGCAATTTTACGCTCGCTATAATGGAGAGCTTTAAAAAGCACTTTGATTGTAAACATAATCCCATTTTAAAGACGCTACGGCTCTGTATAGTCTTTGCTGCCATACGTAGCAAAATATGAAATTGAGAGTGGAAATTCATAACATTGGTATAAAGTGCATTATGTTCTGCAACAACAACTGAGTCTTTGTTTCGTCACTGATGTGGGATAATATTCACATGTTCTCAGTAGAGGTCAGTGCAGAAGGACAGCCGATCACAAGGTAAGGATGGACCACATGGACACACTCCTGTTACAACAAGAATAATTATTAGTCACTAGTGGCCTCAGACAGATAATAATGGAATTTGTAGAGATTTTACAGAGGTAATTATAAGTACTTAATCTATTGAGCTTTACTGTATTAATAGCTGGTTTCTGAAATATAATTTGCCGCTCTATAGAATGAATGCTACTACACCATCGGCTAAAAAAGTAAGCTTAGGTGCTCTTAATCCTCCTGTGCACCTAGCCTTTTCTACAGCGATTTAGAGCGCCTTTATACCAGTTTTGAAGGCACAGTATTATCATCAGGTGAGTGCATATCCTTCATCAGATTCACGTTTGAAGTCGAGGCTGGCTGCTGTTTGCGATGCTGCAGTGATTTAGCAAACATGGACCGTTTCTTTCGTTTCGAGGCAGCCCCCACAGCTCCTTGGAAAGGCATTGTTTTAAGTATACGAGGACGGGAAGCCATTAATTGTTTCTTTTTCTTCCTCCAGCAGCACGCTGCCACAACGGCAAACACGAGGAGTTCCACCACAGTGAAGGTGGTAAATAGAGCAATAACAGTCTCTGTGAAAAGGGAATAGATAGTATCCAGTATAATAATAATTATGGCATGTATATATAATAATTATGTGCCTGTCAGACGTGTATATATTTGCTTGCACTATGTAAATGTATGCTCATTGCATACTAGCCATTGTCGTGGTGTTGTATATAATAGGTAATAGTACTTTTGAGTGTACAGATTTCGTAAAAAGTGTAAAGGTAGCTAACCGGCAATGCTTGAAAAAGAGGCACCGTTTGCAGAGACAAAACTGTTGATAGAAGTGCTCAGTAATCAGGGCTTGCACAATGCTTGTGTACTGCATGTGACTGCTGTGCTTTACTAACATAGGATAATAATAGCAATTAGCTACCGTATAGTTTCTTGTCCTTGTCTGCTATAGTGTTTCCTTACCGCCGTCTATTCCTCCTTTGTTCCTGCAGTCGCTATAGCCTACATAATTGGAGCTGTTTGAATGACACCTTCCGGAGGGCAAAGGATTAGCAGGAACAGTTTCTGCCATCAGATAAACAAACAAATTATGGGATATATGGATTTTACGTTGTTTTTCCATCAATCTTTATGGGTGTTGCGGCACTTTTGTAGAAAACTGACAACAATGCGAAATAATAATTATGACACAACCCGCAATCTTCAGTATATATGATTAGACACCTGTCTTGTTGCACAATTGAAAGGATGTATAGTATATACCTACCACGATCAAGTCGATAAACAATAGCAGTGGAGTTGTGTACACAGGCTATGCTGGTGGAATCGATTCCACTGTCACTGTTTTTCTCATAGATGGATCTGGAGTAAGCCCAGCCAATGGTAGCTCCACCCCACCGCAATTCTCCGCACTGGTAGATGAACACGGCATAGGAGGCTGAGCCGTCAGTGATGAGAACTGCTTGGAAGGTATTCGTGACAACCTAAGTAATAATATTAAGGGTGTGTGCCCAGTCAACTACTTATAGAATAAGGACTTGTTAGCAGGTATGATTTAGTGTAAGGGGTGGAATTACACATTGGGAATATTAGATTGTTATATCCTCCCTGGATTTGTACGACGTCACCAACTACACTATATACAACTCTCTAAGGTAGCTACAACTCTCCAAAGTAGCATACCAATGCAGCTTATGGGGTCAAACACACCTCACTTCCACTAAACTCTGCCATGCCGTCCCATTCCACCACCATCATTCTGGTTCCGGAGAAGGAGGCACCAGTCTGTGACTCAACGAAGCTACTGACTTCACTAATGCGAGGGTGGTCGCCGGCAAATCCGTCAGTCAATCGAACACTGCCAACTACACTGACGTCGATGTTGGCTAGGTAGGGAGACACTAAACTGAAGTCTCCAGGGATATCTGTCAATGTACAGGGCGGAGGGTATATTCCCATGGATATGAATCCACAACTTGATACCTAACAAAGACACAAGTTTTTTTAATTCATTGTTGACATGAGTGCGTTATTAGTTGTGGCATACATAGAGGGAGAGGACAGAAGTCGTTCCAAATTTAAAGCCACCGCCAGTCGATACTGCTTCACTGACTGAGTCGTAATATGTCGGTAGAACAATGCTGGCATATTCTGGAGTCATATCCATCTTCTCAAGGTAGCCTGAGTGCGTAAGAATCAGCACAAAATAGCTTTTAGCAGACATAACAGCACAGCTACCAAAGCTTTATAAACGGCAAGGCAAAATAAGCACGCCACAAAAGATATCTCGGAAACGCATCAGGTACGATATAATAGCTCCAGTGTTTCAATTTCAATCTACAACGTGGTAGCTACACAGTTTTACCGAGAGCAGTTGCAGATGGCTGGAGTAGAGACACTACTGCCAGTAGCCCAGTGGCAGCGAATATCCACCCCGTCCTCGTCATAGCAGAGCGCCTTAGCACTTGATGTCCAAGTTTCTGCAGCTCGCAGTCCATATGCGCTTTACCGCGCATACGTCCGCGACTACTGGCCGGCTCGTTGGCACGCACCAGTAAGAAGCGCATGCGCAATAATTTACGTCATGAGCGCGAGGGAGATTTTGGTTCAAGTTCGTGGCTCGACTAGTTTGTACAAAATCTTTATGTCAATTAAATTTTACACAACATCGAAAAAACTTCAAAGGTCCCAAAGTAATGTTCTTAGCGACATTATTACAAAATGCCACAGCTACAGCAATCTGGCTACGGAGCACAACCCTGCAGAAGAAAAGCATTTCAAACGACATTACAGTATTGTGTCATTATACCTTAGCGGAATATTCAGTAGCAGTAGTAGCATGTTTTGAAGCCAGGCCAGTGATGGAAGGTAGTGAGAAATACTCATTAGAAGGAGTACTGAATGAAGTTTCGGCTGTCGACGGAGTTGCCCGATTGACAGAGGTGCTGTTGGTGACAACACGGGTTTGAGGAATTTTCGATTTCCTCTTCTTTACAGCCCAGTGGACCCCAACAAGGACACAAATAGACACTCCAACGAGTGTTGCGAGGACGCCAACTGCAGCTGATAGTCCAATAGCTAGTCCAACATTTGCTGTGAAAAAATGAAGATTACAGACTCTTCATAGTCAGTATCAGCGTGTATAGTAATTCCCGGCATCATAATGAGTATTACTATAGTGTATACCGCAGTTTTCTTCGTCACTGCCATCCCCACAGTCATCATATTTATCACACTTGACACCGTGAGACAAACACTGTCCATTGTTACAAGTGAAGTAGTGTTCAGAGCAACTAGTATGAGATGGAACACTAGCACCTGTATTGGAAGAACTTCATGTAGACTCTATCTTTGTAAGTATGATTCCTACCGCATTTCCGTTCATCACTATTGTCTCCACAGTCATCATTTCCATTACACTTGTTGCTCTCTCTCACACAATGTCCATTGTCACAGGTAAAGTCAGACGAAGAACATGATGGGGGATCAACCACACCTATCATTATGATGCATAATATAATGTGAAAGAAGTATGTTTAAATGAATGTGTCATACTTTTACTACACTCCATTTCGTCACTGTTGTCTCCACAGTCATCATTTCCATTACACTTGTCCACTTCCTCCACACACTGTCCATTGTCACAAGCAAAGCCACTGGAACAAACGTTACCTACTGAAACAAGTGTTAGTCATGAAACATTATTAGAAAGGGAGTCCAGTCCATAAGTGATATACCACAGTTTTGTTCGTCACTGTTATCTCCACAGTCATTATGACCATCACACACGTAGCTGTTGAGCACACATCGTCCATTAGAACAGGTAAAGTGGTAGTAAGAGCATGTTGGAACAACAGGTCCTGCTGAATTAAATATGTTTGTGTGTACTGAGAGAACTGATAATTATTAACTTATGGCAATTCACTTCGTCACTGTTGTCTCCACAGTCATTGCTTCCGTCGCATACAGAACTGTTGAGTACACACTTTCTATTGCCGCAAGTGAACTCAGTGCAACCTTAAATGGGAAAAAAACATGTAAGTGAAATAAAGAAAAGGTCCTATATAGATAGCTATGCCCCAATGGCTCATAAAATAGCATGCATTCTCTACATGAGAATCCTGCAGCTTACATGCAATTGCACATGATTTCTCACTTCATTTTACCCCATGTAATTTCCCCCCCCAATCACGCGTAAATGACTAATACCATAATTAAGCTTGTATATAAGGACACGGTTGGTTGAATAGTATCGACAGCCAATCCTTGCAGAATTTGATCCACTGAGACTGTGCTTCTCATAGACAGAGCCAGAGTAGGCCCAGCCAATGGTAGCTCCACCCCACCCCATCCCTCCACACTGGTAGATGAACACGGCATAGGAGGTGATACCATTTGTGACGAGAACAGCTTGAAATGTAGCATTGATGGACTAGAAGGGTAAAATTAATAAATTGACATTTAAAGATGAAGAGTACTTATTTTATTGGTGTGGCTAATACTCTAAAACTCTTTTGCATGCTTGAACACAAAGAGTAAAGCATGTGTATAGCTAACAACGAGAAAGAAAGACCAGAGTCACCAAACTAACAGCATTTCCATTATATTTTGCAACACTGTCCCATTCAACTGCCATCATTCTGATTTCTCCATTAAAGGAGTCAACATTATTTGTTTGTTGAGACTTTATGAACTTTATTATTATACTTGGCATCTCAACAGAAGAAGTTGTAATGAATCCATCGGTGTATCGCACGGTGCCCGATATCCTGGTGTCAATATTGGCTCCATACGGAGAGATTATGCCTTGGGTTCCAGGAATGCGAGGTGAATAAAATCTAGAACCCACAGTAGTTATGTATCCGTTAGTGGAAACCTAAAGACACAAACAAACAAAATTGTGGGAGTATTTGAAGAATGTAATATCTGTCTCTAGGGGGGAAAACTATGTGGATAATTATCGCATGATGATACTTTGTTTGACAATGGTTTCAGGAAAGTGTCCTCAGCTGTTTTAAGCTGTTCTGTGCTGTGGTTATACTGTAGGGATAATGCTCATCAGAAGCTACGTTGCTAATGCGTGATAATGTTATCCATTGCAGGACACTGCATATAATTATACCTAGTAGCTAACTATCCACACATAATAATGGCGGTAATTATAGTAACTCTATTGAGCTATAATATAGGCAACGCACATAGACATTGTTGACTCTGGTGTTGCCAAAGGCAAAGCCACCATTAGTGGGCAATGCTCTACTCATTGCACCATATCCATTAGGTAGAATCGAGTGTGGAAGAGAAGTGAAGTCTACGTAATCTGTGGAGGAAAAAAAAGATCGAGGTCTGCCTGGAGGAAGTGTAGCTAAGTAGCCCCTCACCAGACCTTTTGATAGCTTTATACTCACATACTTCACTCTCTATGTAGAGTCATACCCGTCCTTCCATTTTAGCAAGCATAGACAAAGATAAATCGCTGAACAAGTCTTCAAGCTCTAGATGCTCTTTAGCTAGCTAGCAATTTGTACATGAAAGCAACGTGTCTTACTTCAGGAAATACTTGCCCGTGCCAATCTGTTATGTACTGTACTAATGTCAAGTGAACAAATTACGTCACAGTGATACGCAGTCATGAACTTTGGACTCCGAGGCAAAGGTGGATTTGCTTTAATTTACTTTGGTGTGTATTGAGCACGGTAGAGGCAGGATTATTATTATAATCAGACAATGGCACGTTAACTAATTGAGCACCAATCGGTAATTGGTAAATTAGGGACGGACTTATGATAGCATTAATGCAGAGTGGGCTGTCTGATTCTATAGCTGTGTGTGTAACTCACAACTTACAATGAGATTTAAAACCCTTGTGACTGAGACGTAAAGACTCAAAAGCACTCTGGGGATGGGCTTGCTATTGGGCGCAGCAGCGTTTCTGGTGATCAAAATTAAGAGGGGCTCGCATTTTCTGACCGAGACACATTTACAAGGAAGACACAATAAACATTGCGATGTCACACACTTACAACAGGTTCATGGCTTAGGCAACAGCTAGGTAGCTACTTAGTAATAACTTATTAACCTGCAAATGAAGTAACACAAACATGAGCTTTTTTTTGCTCATATATAAGCGAAATATTACCCACTTGCAATACAGCAACAACTTTCCTTACCACCAATTGCAGTTGACGCCCCGAAATTTCCGAGAAGGATCACAAGTACCACAGTTCCCACGCCCCTCATTTTCACGAAATAATTATTTCTCGTTGGTTGTGAGAGCGAGCTGTTTTGTAAAGCGCATGTGAGCAAAACTTAGAGCGGCATCTATGCTGCATGCATAAAGACACTTCTGGGGTTATTACTTCTACAAGTAAGATTATAAGCACTCCGAACAACCCGTTGGTTGTACGTAATGCGGTGAACTACCGCTGGCTACGTAGCTACATAAAATCTAATTAGGCGAACGGATATTATACAGCGCTCTCTAAAACGGAAGAGTGCTTGTGTGATGTTTAATGTTAACTCTAGGAAGGACTAGAGCAAGGACAAAATAGCTTTCTCGCACTAAACTTCCGAAGTGAGAAAGAATGAGAGCGACTGCTGACGTGGGAGTGTTGGCGGCACTAGTAATTTTGCTCTGCAAGATCAAACCGTCGACTGCAATTGGTGGTAAGGAAATGATACTACCAGTCCATGCTTGCTGTGTGTGCAGAAACACGCGTGTAGCAGTTCGTCGCGCTCGTCGCGTCCACGGCGATCGTCGTAAACTGAATGCGCCCGTTGGCACGGCTCGCTACCGCTTGCCATGCAAAAGAAAAAAAGCAGAACACGTTGCTAGGTGTTGCAATGCAATGACTCAACTTTGTATAACTCAGGTTACGCAAACTGACATATAATTATTGCTACGATGCAGTTCTCAACTGGGATGGTAGCTAGCTATCAATTGGAACATGGTGTTTCGCCTCTCGTTATGTATAGCTAATGCAAATTATCATTCTGCGACCCTGTTGTATATAACTGTGTATAATATAGCTCTAACCTGCCTTGAGAATTGACTCTTACCTAATTGAGTCTGACAACCAAACCTCACCAGTGTCCTCGAGACAAGAGTTTGTTCATTAGCAACACATCACGAGAAACTTGAATCTCATTGTAATTCTGTTGTTGTATAATTATACTGCATACATGATTTGCAGTAGAGTGGCCGCCCACAGTGTGTAAACATAGGTCCAGCCCTAACGTGCAATTGCATGCAGACTGGCACTTAGCTGATCAGTCAAACAATCAGCGAACCAGTCAGTACCAATTAAAGTGCATTATGCAAAGTCACTTAAAGTGTAAGTAACACGATTTAATGAGAGTTTCCACACCCCTCGTTGGTCATAAGTCATGTGACGAATAATTAAATGGGCAAAAGTAGCAAACATTTGATATAGTTCAGCGTAACATACAGTGGAGCTGGGACTATGAAATTGTCCTTGGTTTTATTTTTTACGCTGCAGGTTCCCTTTTTAAGATAGACTTTTCTGCTCTTCCACACTCTACTCTGCCTGATCTTGATGACACAATCAGTGGAGCATTGCCAACAAATGGCGGCTTTGCTTTTGGGACAGCCACAATCAACAATGTCTATGTAAGTTGCCTAACATACTGTTTATTACGTCTCAAGCAATAATTGTTACTTTATGCAAAGCACATACTGAATTATGAACACCCAGTCTATATTGTTTCAGAACAGGTGCTGATTACTGTACATTAAACCTGTGTATCCATCTAACCTGCAAAATACCTGTCTTTTGTGTGTATATACTTCTTATACCCAGGGTTGAGTAATGTAAGTGTGTAAGCACTGGTGCATTATACATATAGAGTTGAGTTATGAATTGTGTACGCTTACATCCAGGTTTGCAATAATGGATACATTTCTATGGACGACGACCTAATTTACCACTCACCCCTGATTCCTCAAATCCATAACATAGTCTCTCCGTATGGAGCTGACATTGACACCAGGATATCTGGCACCGTGCGATACACTGATGGATTCATTACTTCTGCGCATGCTGTTCAGATGTCAAGTATAATAAACTTCATTAAATCTCAAACAAATGATTGCTCGTTCAATGGAGAAACCAGAATGATGGCAGTTGAATGGGAGAGTGTTGCTCAGTTAAATGGATATGCTGTGAGTAAATGCCCCTCTGTATTAGCTCCATTTTCATTAATAGTCTTTTGTCTCCACCCTGACAGCAATTTCTTTATATTATCCTAGTCCAGCAATGCTACATTTCAAGCCGTTCTTATTACTAATGGCACCACCTCCTATGCCGTGTTCATCTACCAGTGCCGAGGGATGGGGTGGGGTGGAGCTACCATTGGCTGGGCTTACTCTGGCTCTGTCTATGAGAAGCACAGTCTCAGTGGATCCAACTCTGCTGGCATTGGATGTAGACACTCATTTACCTACAGTGCCCTTGTATACAAGCTCAGTGGTGGTAAATATCATGGTCAGTAAAGTATACAGCACCAGTAGACTTGTAGGCATAGAAAAGAAGATTTGAATTAGCTAGCTATACCCAAGAAAAATACGACAGCAAAATCGTTTGTTTCCTTGCCATGTCACTCTAGGGGTAACAACTTCTACAACATCCGCCCCATGTCACTACTTTCACTTCACCTGTTACAACGGACGATGTGTGCCAAACACTCTTTTATGCAATTATATCAATGACTGTGGAGACAACAGTGACGAAGAAGAATATTGCGGTAACGTTATTTTTTCTTTCACACACTTGAATATTTTTGAATACTTTCAACAGGCTATGTTACCTGCTCTTACTACCAGTTTACCTGTTCTAATGGACGATGTGTGCTCAACAGCTACGTGTGTGATGGTCATAATGACTGTGGAGATAACAGTGACGAACAAAACTGTGGTATATCACTTATGGACTGTCCCTTTCTAATAATAATACTTTATCACTAACACTTGTTTCAGTAGGTAATGTTTGTTCCAGTGGCTTTGCTTGTGACAACGGACAGTGTGTGAGAGAGAGCAACAAGTGTAATGGAAATGATGACTGTGGAGACAACAGTGACGAAATGAATTGTAGTACAAGTATGACACATTTTAACCATACTTGTTGCACATTATTATGCATCATAATGATAGGTGTGGTTGATCCCCCATCATGTTCTTCGTCTGACTTTACCTGTGACAATGGACAGTGTGTGAGAGAGAGCAACAAGTGTAATGGAAATGATGACTGTGGAGACAATAGTGATGAACGGAATTGCGGTAGGAATCATACTTACAAAGATAGAGTCTACATGAAGTTCTTCCAATACAGGTACCAGTGTTCCATCTCATACTAGTTGCTCTGAACACTACTTCACTTGTAACAATGGGCAGTGTCTGTCTCACGGTGTCAAGTGTGATAAATATGATGACTGTGGGGATGGCAGTGACGAAGAAAACTGCGGTATACACTATAGTATATACTACTCTTTATGATGCCGGGAATTACTATACACGCTGATACTGACTATGAAGAGTCTGTAATCTTCATTTTTTCACAGCAAATGTAGCTGGACTAGCTATTGGACTGTCAGTGGCAGTTAGCGTCCTCGCAACACTCGTTGGAGTGTCTATTTGTGTCCTTGTTGGGGTCCACTGGGCTGTAAAGAGGAAAAGGAAATCGAAAATTCCTCAAACCCATGTTGTAACCAACAGTACCTCTGCCAATCAGGCATCTCCGTCGACAGCAG